ATAAAAAAGTTAAATTAATTATCTCTATCTGCTATTTCTTATATGATATTCTTAAAATCATAATAATTTTAAAAATTTTCATCACTATCAACAGAATTTTAAATAATATTTAAAGTTTACACTTCTAATGGAATAATCAATTAATCTTGTTATGGTATTAATTTTTTAAGACATTATATCTTATAAACTTCAAAATTATTATAATTTAAAAATTATAACTTAATTTTAATAATTTTTCCTTTAAATAAATTTTTATCCAATTTTTCTAACAAAATATTAACAAATGAATTATATAATTCTTTATCAGCTTTAATTCTCATTATATACTATATAAAAATATTATCTGCTAATGATTCATCCTTTTAATAACCATAAACTTTATTTAAAATAATTTAAGGATTCATTTTAATTTAATTGTATATAGTATCTGATATCAATTATTGTTATTATTAGAATTCAGAATAATCAAATAATTCTTAATAAATAAATACTAATTTAGATATCTTTTGGACTAGGTTAGAATATTCTAAAGGATTTTGTTTCAGTTAATATTATAGTGATTAAATTTATTCACATATACTTTCTATCTAAATTTTGAGTTATTAAAATCTTTTATGAGTCAATAGAGTATATAATAATGAAGTTCTTATATTACCAATATCAAAAGGTAAGTGACTGGAATAATAAGTATAATTATTGACCCAAGGAAATTAATCAAATAAATTATTTTTGATAATCTACTTTGCCAATTAAATATAATGTTAATAAAAATAAGTAAAATTTTTATATTAGTCTGATTATTGATATTATTCACCTATATTCTAAAGCCATTATTTTTTAACTATTTTTTATTGTTTTTTTGATAATTTTTTAAAAAAAGATGGTGATTCTATTAATGATAGTTTTCCATTTAGAATTTAATCAGCTATTTAATAAGATTCCATCTCTAATTTTTCAAAATCATATTATTTAATTAAAGAAGAACTTAAGAAATTAATCATTATTGGTTATATATGTTTATTTTAGGTATCCAAATAATACACTAGAGGAATTTAATCTTGATAAGTAATATTTAAAAGAGTCATGATAATTTTATGTTATTCTAATATTTGAATTAATTTAATGATTATTTCTTAATCAGTTGATTATAAATTTAGATTCATACATAAACAATGAATTAATGTTAAGCCTTATTTGGTAATTATTTCAATGTTTTATTAAAGTTGATTTGGATATTATTGAATATAATCTAATATAATTGAAATTGGAGCTTTTGAAATGAATATCCAAAATGGAGTTCTTTAATCCAAACTTTTCTGATTATAATATGGATTTGAATATTAAACAAACAATTCCCAATTTTTTCTAATTGCTACTTCATGAAATATATTATAATTTAATATTTCAAGTTCAATTTTAATCAAATTTGTAACTGTGCTAGTAGTTTTTGGAATTGCTTTTGGTATTTTTAATTATTTAAAAGCATATTCTTATTTCCATTTTCTATATTATTGTATAAACAATCCCCCAAATTATTATTTAAATATCTTTGCTATTTTTCTTAAGAGAAGTAAATGTATCCATTTTTTATGATTGAAATATGAAATACAATTTTAAGCAAACATGATTGAATTTTAAACTTTATAAATTTTAGGTTCATCAAAAGTATTGAATACTTTTTAAAATTATTCATATTATTTAACACTATCTATAAATTCTATACTTTTAAGTATATTATTTTATTAAGATTAAGGTCTAAATTTTCTTAATAAAGAAACAGCTAAATCAAGCAATTCATACTTATTTTCTGGTAATTTATGATTAATAATTAATTCGGTGATTATCTCATAATCATCAATATAATTTAAAATCAATGTCAATATAGTTTCATCACTATCATTTCTTAAAAACATTGCATCCATTATTTTAATATTTTGAGTTTAGCATATACTCTAATATGTAAATAATATTGTACTTATATATTTGAGAATTTTAAGGTTTTAATTTCTATTTATTTAATTATTTCTACAATAATTTCTAGGTATTTATTCTTAGTTTATAAATGAATTTTTCTCTGTTCTTTTCCAAATTAGATAAAAGACTTCAAACTACTAGTTTTCCATGGATAACTAATCTATTCTTTAATATTGGTTTTAATGGGAACCTATATTTGTTGAACTGAGGTTTGGGATTATTTTATAGTTGTTTCATTTTCAACTTTAGTTTCTTATTTTATTATTTAAGTATTCTTTTATTATATTTCAATATTTTCGTTATTATGCTTTTATTATTTAGGCTCTATAACTGCTGATGATCTAAATATCTAACAACCCATTATTTGATATAATAAATATTAAAATAAAAGTTATATTTTTGTCTTTATATATACATACTATACTTATAAATTCTAATAAAGAAATTAAAATATTTGAAGTTAAAAATATATATTATGAAAAATGTTCAAAGAGTATAAATATATTTTACTTATGATAAATTAAATTGTCAAATTTATTATTTAATTTAACAATAAAATACTAATAGATTATATCTGAATTAAATATTAAACAACAGCAACGTTATTTGAAATTCATTAAATCAATTTTTGATAATTAAAATACAATAATAATATTTAAAAGAATAATATTTATTTAATTCTAAATTTGTTTTAATATTATCTACTTTTTATTTTGATCGAGAATTAACTAAAAATTTCAGAATAGATATGATATGTTAAATTTCATTAAAAACCAAAAGTATACTAATAAATTAGTTTTATATAAATACTAACATGAATATTAATGCACTTATTTAATAGTTCATATTTTTCAGAATTTATAAATTTTCATCTTAATTATAATTTCTAATATAATGCAAGACATATAACAATGTATCCAACAAAATCATAATTATATTGAAAATCATCAATAAGAAAAGCTGTTCACAAAATAAATATATTGACAGTCTTAATAATGATATTATTAATAAAATTATATGATATTAATATTTGCTATCATCATTGTCATTTCAAATGCTGTAATTGATCCTATCACTGTTGAAAATTGTAAATGGGGACCAACATAATACAAATTAGCTCATTAAAATGAAGCTACAACAGAAAATGTAGAATTCACTTATTTCACAATTTGCAAGTCTCTGAATCATAAACTAGTCATTGACTTTTTCAATGTTGATTCGTAGAATCTCCTTTTTATTTTAGATACATTGATGCCCCTCTAACAAAATGTAATGATCCATTATTTCAACATGACGTCGATGAAATTTTCATTGGAACTAAAACAGAATATTTAGAAATTGAAATCTCACCAAATGGAGCTTTATTCTATGCAACAATAGGCAATCCTAATGGAAGTTGCTCTAATTTAATAACCACTTATAGATAATGTGATGAGATCTCCTATTTTGCTGAATATGTCACACCAACTGCATGGAATGCTCATATCGAATTGCCCATTTCTATGTTTACTTAACCTATATATGCCAATTTCTTTAGAGTAAACAAGATGAAAGATCGTTCAACTCATTATATGAGTTACAATCCTATAAATTCATCACCTGCTTGTTTCCATAGACCAGATAAATTCATTTAATTGATAGTGTGAAGTATAAGTTGATTCATCACATTTATATAATTTATATTATGCAAGATTAATTTCTAAGCCCTATCTATTTGTCAGCTCAACAATTAGCAGAACTCTTTAACAATTCTTAATCTGAGATTAAATTCGGAAATGAATCCAAAATTGTCTCTTAAACTAATCTTGATTCCCCACCAGAATAACCACATGAATTTAGCTTCTCTGAAATTCAATAAATAAATTCCAATTCATCTATTCCAGAAAATAATATTGAAACTGCAAATTTCATTGTAACAAAAGAGTAATATATATAACTCATCTCTCAAGTTGAATTGAATAAGTAACTCAACTAATAATATCATCAATTACTTAAAGAGAATCAAGAACAATTACAAAAGCGTAAATAACTTGAAGATGAAAATGCAGAAATGTTAGATTCCAATTTTCAAATCAAAAGAGAGATTTAAGAAATTAAACAAAAATTATTTATTACCCAAAGTGCTCTATAATTACGCAAGGATAAATAGATCATTGAACTTAAAAATCAATTGAAAGAATTGTAACAAAAACAATCTGAAAAAAGAGACACTCTTTAATCAATAACCTTTACTGAAAATAGCACTGTTGAATCAGAAAAATCTAATTCATAGTATTGTAATACAAGTAGATTGGTAAGAGTGGATTAAAGTTCCTCACATCATTAATCAATCAAACTCTATAAAAGTAGAAACAATTCATTGATTAAGTTAATCAAGAATTGACTCTTTAAAATAATTTTGATTTATAATATTATATTATTTTATTAAATATTAATTAAAATTCTCTTTTGATATTAAATGTTAATATCAATTACATTAACTTCTTATCTTAATTCTCTTTTGATATTAAATATTATTATCAATTCATTATTTTCTAAATTTAATATACACTATAAATATTATTTTTTATCTCATCTTTTAGTTATAAATATTTGAAATCATATAAATATTACAATCATATATCAAATCTAATTGAATATATATATTTTACATATTAAATTTTGATTAAATAAGATACTTAAATCTAAATTATATATATATTGTCAATAGATATATTTAATATCTAAAATTTTATAAAATAATTAAAAGGCCTTGTATTTTTTCTTTTATTCATTATTTTAATCTTAGATAGATAAATCGATTTTAATATTTTTGATAATTTATTATACAATTTAATTCTTTGATAGCTATAAAAGATATTAAAGAATAAGGAGTATTATTACGAATCAGAATGAATTAATCTCGATTATTGTTTTGAAAGTATTTTGAGATAGAATATTTTTTTGTTGAAAAAGTATTAGTGAATAATATAATTAAAATGAAATTATTCAATGTTAATTTATATTGTTCTTTACATGGTTTAGTGATGGATGCTTTTTGTAAGAATCCAGAATGCAATATTGAAGATAGGATCTGTTGTAACACTTGTGTATAAGAAAGACATAAGCATCAAACAACCAGAATTTGGGAATTGAAAAATGTTTTTGAAGATGCTATAAAATTACTTTCAGATAGGGATAAAAAATTACTAAATTTCATAGATTAAATTACTCAAAAGGCTTCAGCTATTAGGTAAATAACTAATAAAGATATTACTTATTTGAAATAGATGATTGAAGACTTTGAAAATCAGACATTAACAAACTTAATAAATGCTTTAAGAATATCTTATTCATTAAAAAACCATGAAATTTCAGAAAGAGTTACAGAACTTGTTGAAAAATAACTTAATAAAAGTTCATTGATATCATTTAAATCTATTAATTGTATTATTATCTAAATAATATAAAAGATGTAAAACTTCTTGAAGAGAATAAAAAAGACGAAGCAAAATATGTTTTATAGGAAATAATAGATCTAGATTAAAATAATGAAATATATAAATAGGAAATGTGTAAAAATTATATCTATTATTAAGATCGAATAAACAGTTAGTAATTGTAAAATTAGAGCTCTGAAAATGTAGAAAACAATGCAGTAGATATCAATCATTTAATTCTACAATGTAAATTATAATATATTTTGAGATCAAACTTTCTTATAAGAAGATTAAAATGAAAAAGAGGCTCTTAAGGTTTTAGATTAAATATTAGAAATAGATGTAGATAATTATATCTATTAAAAAGAACGATGTAAATGTGTATTTTAATATTAGTACGCCTCACTCATGAAATAGATGAGTATTCAAATGCTGATAATTGCTTTTTTTATGGTAAATATTTAGCTTCAGTTTATTAATATGACAAATTGTTAAAAATAAGACCAGATCCAAGAATATTTTATCAGAAAAGCAAATAATACATTTTATTTTAGGTCTCGCATTATTTTACATAAAGGACTATAATAATGCTATAAATTCTATTGAAAAATCTATAGAATTTGATATAGAAAACATCTTGTATAAGATAACAAGAAGTTGTTATTTATTATTTAAAATAGGCTAATTGTTATTTGCAATGAAGAATTTAGAGGCTCTGAAAATAGAGGCAAAGGAATTGAAGAAATGCTTTGATTCAATTAATTTAACAATAGAAGTAAAAAACAAAATTTATTATTAATAGGGTCAAATACTAATATTGTAAAATAATTATGAAAATGCAAAAGAATGCTTTGAGTAAGCTTTTTCGTTTGATTATTTTAATTATGAAGCTCACTTTTTACAGGCTTTAGTAATATTTCAATTATCATTTAGTGTCTATCCAAAACTCTCCTATCATAAACATAAGAATTGTCTTTGTCACCATAAGAAATATTATAGAATAAAAATAAAAATGGGATTCTTGATATGAAAAAAATTTAAAAGTTTTATTGCATGTATATGGAGGGCTATAATTAACAAAATAATAATTAAATTCAATTAAGTCCTAAAACTTTATAAAAATGGAATTAAATTTTAATGGAGGCAAAGAACAAAAAACCCACAAATACAAAAGCCTTATAATAGTGATAAAGATTAAATTTATCAACCGATAAATGTATTATTATTAGTCAAACTAATATTCTTTTCATATAAACAAATATAAATCATATTAAATCATGAGATCTAATTTCTAAATTTCACATAACTTTCATAAAATTTAATTGAATTATGCTTAAATAGATCACTATTTTATAAAAATAATCTTAACTATTTTTATATGCCAATATTTTTTTCATAAATTTAAGTATAGTGAATTTATTAAATAACAGACTTGCTAATATTACTATGTTTCCTAGCTGATTAAGATCCTTTTACATCAATAGAATACCCCCTTATTTTTGGTATAGTATGTCCTTTTCTCATTGATAAATTCATTACGTAATTAAAAATTAAAATCATTCTTAAAGTAAAAATAAATTAAAGAAATAGAATCAAATGATTAGAGAATATTATCATAACTTTTGATTTAGTTTAATGTTATCATTGATTTATTTCATCCTAAAATAGATAAACTTTATTAAGTAACAATTTATGAATAAATTTTACATTCGATTGATATCTCTTGACATAATAATTAATGAAATAAACATGTATATTATTTTATATATTTATAATTCATTAGATATATGAGATCATTAATAAAATAGAGAATGAAATAATAAATATGTGATTTATGAATAATCAATTAAAAAAGAAGAATGTGTATTTAAATATTCTTCTTTATTATGTATATATATAATATAATGAATAATTATATCTTCATATTATCTTAGTTCTTTTAATTTATGAATAATTCATAATTGAATATAAAAAATTAGTTTCATAGGGTTCAATTAAAAATGATATTAATATTACACATATTAAGTAGGAATATTAAGAGGAATATAATTGTGTAAAAATATAATTGAGATATGTATAGTATGTTTTTTAAATGAATAGTTTTGATTATTATTATAAATAATGGATGAAATAAAACTAGTGGAATCAGATGATGAATTAGAATATCAGCCTTAAACTTTAAAGACATAGAAGCAACATTAACCAAAAAGTGTTTAAGAGATGAGAGAACAATTTCGAATGTAAATTAGGAAGGAGAGGATTGAAGAATAATTGGAAAAGAAGAGGATGTGGTTTATACCAAAATAGCGATTATAGAGTTCTTAAATGAATTTTTCGATTAATAATTTATTCAATGAATTAAAGAATGTATATGTTCAGAAAGACATGAATGAAATTTCATAAAAATTACATTTAATTGCCAATATCATAGATGATAGGAATCGCATTCATAGTTTGTATTTAACTTAAAGGAACTTTCTATAATTCAAAGATTTATTGAATGATGAATCCTATTATATTGATACATATACAATTTATTTGTAATTAACATAAGATGATGAATATTTTCAATTGCCAATAGAAGATATTTAATGGTCAATTGAAAGATCATTAGATTTACTTATAGAGAATAAACAAATAGATGATTTGGCTAATCTAATATTGGGTTATTTGGGAAATGTTTCAAGTAAATTATAATAAATCCAGAATTATTTATTAAGTAAAAATACTATAGAGATTTTATGTTAATTAATGAAGGATTCATTGTTACATAATGTTTGTTATCTTATTTAAACATTATGTAGCAATATACCTGAATAATATAAACCTTAATTAATAGTAATTTTAAAACATTTGAAGATCAACAAAAGTTAAGAGATATTATAAACTTTATTTATTATAAATAAATAATGTTTTTATTATGATAAAGAAATCAATTATTTTGAAATATTTCAATTACTCTTTAATTATTTGAATGAATATCTTATTAATGAGAATGATTTTGAATCATTTTATTCTGCTTTACTTTAAATGAAATATTTATCAGATTTTTAATAATTATATGCCATCTTCTAATAATTTTCTATCTTGGAAATTATTAATAAATTAATCAATTACAAATATTAAAAAATACGTACAGCTGTCTTATATATTTTATAAAATTTATGTAAATAAGGACATAATGTGATTCAATAGATATTCTCATAATAAGAATTGATCAAAAAATTAATCAATATCTTAACAACTGATAAACCAATTAATCAATCTCTTGTAATAAGATCAATTCAACATATTCTAAAATATGGAAACTAATAAGATTTTACAGTACTCATTAGTTTAGGTCTTGCTGTACACTTAAAATCAACTATTGAATCAGCAGAACCTTATATTGTTTTATAAGGATTGGAATGTATAACTTCACTTATGAATTATGGTTTATCTTTGTAAACATAATTGAATGTCCCAAATCCTATTCTAGCTATATTATAATAAAATCAGTTGATTTAAGCAATTGAAGACTTATAGTATCATCCTAATAAAGAGATTTTCACATAATCATAAAAGTTAATAACCGAATTTTTTAGAACTGAATGAATAATTATATATGATATCTTAAATTAATATGGTTTATCATGTATCAATTTTAAGTTTTAAAAGCCTTTTTATATAAATTTATGATCATTATTATAATTCTAAAAAATTACTGTTTAAGCCGATTATTATAAATTATGAGCATTAATACATTTGTATTTGAATATTAAAGCTTATATAGATTATTTAGAATATTAATTTATGATAATACTTTACTATATTGAATTATTACTATCTCCTAGATCTATATGTTTATATATGACTCTCTATATTTGAATAAAGTTGATTCTATATATAATATGAGTATTAATTATGAATTATATAATTTATATAAAATAACATTATAATTGAAGTAAAGAAAATGAACAACGTTTTCTAAGGTGAATAGTAATCTTAATTATTCTCTAAGAATTGAACCAACATGGTCTTTAGTATTATAATAAGATTGTATAGAATTTAATCATTCATTAAACTTAATTGAATAGTGAGAATTGAACATGAAAACGTTTATGAAAATAAAATGTATTGAAATTCGAAACTCAAGAAAATGATAAATATCATTATTTTATCAATCAAGTATGTTAAACTGAGCCTTTCCTAAGTATTATTTACAATTAGGACATGAATGTTCAACATCTTTACAATCATCCAATAAACATGGAATACAAGTAACACATATACATCCAAAAGAACAAAAGATTAGAAGTACTCCAGCTATTAATGTTTGTAATCCAACTCTTCTTTTTATTACTGAATATACCTGAAATATAATCTTAAAAACTTACTTTCATCTTACATCCTGGACAAATAATTCTTACAGATTATTAATGACCATCTCCTGAAACCTATACAGAAGATACTAATTTGATTTCTTCAAATGTAATAGGAATATGGACAGGTTTGTCAATAGGTGTGTTTTCTAAGGTAATGTTGGGTTCATATTGCTAAGCATTTTTTGTAATATGAAAAACTATCTCATCTCCATCACTTTGACGTAAGTCTTACATTAATTTTAATATATATTAATCAACTGGTAAGATTTTAGTCTTACTTTATTTAGAATTTAAGATATTTTAAATGGGTTTTTAATTAAATTATATCTCGTATCTCTGATTCCTCTATCTTGATAGAAATATCTTATATATTATAACATAAGGTTATTAGATAACATATATTGTATATCATAAAATAGATTATAAAAACTAAAAAAGTACTAAAAGATAAAAATTAAAAAATTTATTGAAATATATTAAATATATATATATTTATATAATAACCTTAAATTAAAAAAGTGTATTAAAATATAGAAAGAAATTTATAGATTCAAAAAAATAATTATAGATATTAATTATTTAAAATCAAGTTTATTTAAGTAACAATAATAATTCTCATTTGAGACCTGACCTTTGTAATTTTTTTTCATGATATTAGAGTACTATAAAATAATAATTTAAAAAATAATTACATTCTTCTTCATTATATAAACACCAAAAGTTACCATTATCACAACCTACAGTTTAAAATCTTAATTAAAAAATCTCACTCTATTAAAATATTATTTAAGTGCTTGTAATATTATTTCCACTTCTTTCATTTAGTAACAATTTAGTACCCTATACAGCCTTGATTAATGAAAAATTTTAATCATATATTTTCTTATCTTAATTTTTTTCTATAATTACTCCATCTTATTTCATTTTCATAATAAAAATATCATCAAAATAAAATCCACTATCTGTTGTATATATAAATTATGATGAAAATGGAGTAAGAGGTATAAAATTATTAATTTTTTAAGGAATTTCTATAGGATAAATATATATTTATCCATCTTAATTATAAGCCATGATTTTATTGAAACTATTTAAAAAGATATATAAATTCATTGTGTAACTAATTTAACAATATAGAATTCTTCCATAACAATTTAATTGTATCTTTTTAAGTAATACACCATTATAATAATGAATATGTACTTCATTAATTAAATCTACACTTAATATTTAAGATGTTGAACAATCAATATTAGTTATACTATAAACATGAGATGTTATAACAAGAAATGGTGTAATTGAAATTTCATATTCTTTAGTAATTTTCCAAAATGAAATACTACCATCTTCTTATCCAATTATAAATACACATCTTGCATGACAAATACTTATACATTAAATATTTGAATGATTTAAAGTATTAAATTGTTTATATTTTAAACTATTCCCTTTATATGATCTAAATTCTCCATTTGGATATCCACCAACTATAAAAAATATAGAATAATTTTAAAATAAACTTAATTTTTCAGATTCTATTATATGATACTAAGATTCTTATTTATCTGTAAAATTCTAATTATCAAAATCAATAAAACATGTTAATTAATTAGTTAATGGTTATTTAGTTTCTAATTATTTTTTTAATCTAATTGTTAAACAATCAGATTCCAAACTCATTTTTTAAAACAATTATCCATTTACATCTAATATAATAGCTGTACCTTTCTCTGTAATAAGTACAAATTATTAACACGAATAATAATAAGCCGAAATAATCTTCTCATCTCCTTAATAAAGCAATCTTTTTGTAGTCATTTTTAT